ATAAACTCTACAGGGTAAAATATCACTGCCTAACATCCATAGCTCTTTACTTCTGAGAAAAGTTGTGGTCCCCCGACTCAGTTATAAATCAAGCTGGCTTTGGAGTTGTAATGTGGCTCTCCCCTTCTCTAAACCCAAGTATGTTGTTAAAAGAAAAAAAATTAAGCGATTCTGTCTCATATCAGAAGAGCCGCCTGGTGTGGGACAGAAGAAAGCCAATAATCTAGGGACTACTCTTGTCAAGATTCTATTTTTCTCCATGCTTATTTTTGATTCCTTAGAACCTTTCTTTTCATATCATGCCATCTTAAAATTCAAGTTTTCCACAGTGAAAAAGTAAATCTTCCCAGTAGTGATCTCTGAAGTATCCAGAAGGAAGGTGGGATCCTCATCTGGGCATTTAGTATGTCTCTTTTTTGATGTTGTTCTTGTTGGTTGTAGTTCTGTTTTTGCTTATGTATTACCCTTTATCTCTCCTGGACAATACTTGATAATAATTCTTATTGCATAGAGTTTTAGGTTTAGAACTTTCTTAGACAAAAAGGGGAAATGTAGTGGGTATTTGTTCCACCTATGGCCTTGGGATACCAGTTCCTAGGGTGTGGCCTTTTGGCTAGTTTAAGATCTGGGGAACATATATTCTGGGCCCCTTCTTTCTCCTGCTCTTGGATGGTGAAGACCGAGTCAGGCGGCGTGAAGCAGCTTGGGACAGGTTCTCAGCTTTCCAGGGACTCTGCGACTGAATTTGCCTTATCTTGTATCAATGAGTTGTCCCTCCATATAATCCATTAATAAATAGCCCCTTTCTCAGTAATCCATGGATTTCCTGCATTAACAACCGACTATGGGATGGATGCCCAGCCCCACCTGATACATCTACAACACAACCACTACCCATAAGGCTCAGGGAACATCACAGAAGAGGGAGGGAGAAAGATTGTAAGAGCCAGAGGACAAGCACATCTGCTTCCAGAGTGTGTCTTCTAAATATGACAGGAAAACTACACTCATGAAATGGAAACAATGTAGCTGCCTTAACAAGCCCTAAACAGTGACCACAGTAGTTGACATGCTCCTGTGAATGGAGGAAACCTCACAAGGAATCATTAGCTGAAGAGCTAAGAGGTAATTAAGACTGTTGAGACAGGGAGTCCTCTAAATGGTCATCCAATCCTGAGTGGCTTGCCCTGAAAACATACACATCTAGGCAACACTAAATGGATTCAGCAGTTGCATTTGTATATTTATTTACGTATAGATGTGACGGTAATAATTAAAGAAAATGGGTCATGAATTTGGGAAGAAGGGAGGCATGAGAGAGGTTTGAGGTTTGAGGGAGGAGAGAGAAGGGAGAAATGATGTAAATACAGTACACATATATGAAATAAAAAATAACTTAAAAATTGATGCTGCACATTAGCATGCACATGATTCCTCACTATAACTAAATGAAATTCTTCAAAAATTTTTTGCATGAAAAAATAGGAGATGGTTAATTTTGGATGTCAGTGGACTGGATTAAGGAATTTTGTGGGATAGTGGTGGTCCATGCCTTTAATCCCAGCACTTGGGAGACAGAGACAGGTGGATATCTGTGAGTTAGAGGCTAGCCTGGTCTATAGAGTGAGTTCCAGGACAGCCAGGGATACACAGAGAGACCCTGTCTTGAAAAACCAAACCAAACAAACCAAAGCAAAACAAATCACTACTCTTGAGGGTATCTATGAGGGTTTTTCTAGAGAAGACTGACGAGTGAGTAGACTGGGGTGGGAAGGGAAGATCCACCCTCAGTGTGGTTAGGCACCAGGAAGGGTGGCGATCTTTCTAGTGCTTTTAACAGTAAATCCTCGGTCTTTAAGCGTTCAGGTTCTGAGGCCTTTGGACCCGGACTGAGCCATGCTACCGGCATCTTAGGGTTTCTAGCTTGCAGGTGGCATATGAGCCAATTTTCACAATAGATTCCCTTACCATTATGGATATCAATCATTTAGCTATCTACCCACCTAGCATATTGGTTATGTCCCTTTGGAGAACCTTGAGTAATCCAAATTTTATAGGCAGTAGTTGTTCTAGAAAGCATAATCATCTTCATTATCATTATTATTGTTTTTTGTTTTTCGAGACAGGGTTTCTCTGTGTAGCTTTGGGCCTGTCCTGGAACTCACTCTGTAGACCAGGCTGGCCTCGAACTCACAGAGATCCCCCTGGCTCTGTCTCCCGAGTGCTGGGATTAAAGGTGTGCGCCACCACTGCCCGGCTTTATCATTATTATTGGTCAAGATAGGGTCTTTCTATGTAGCTCAGGCCGACATGTTTTCTAGCTCAGCTGGCTTTGAATTCAGATTTGAATTTGATCCTCTAGCCTTGTCCTCCCAAGTGCACTGCCACACCTGACTCAAGAAAGATTCTTTTTCTTTGACAGCATCTCACTAGGTAGCCCTAACTGGCCTGGAAGTTTTTCTGTAAACCAGGGTCCAATTCAGAAAGATCTTTCTGCCTCTGACTCCTGAATGTTGGGATCACCATACCTGGCCAAGAAACAGAATTTTACTATGAACGTTGTTAATTGGTTTTGGCATTTCTGAAATTTTATTTTTAAATTTAATTTAACTTTGACACAGGGTGTCATTGGCTGGCCTGGGAGTTGCTATGCAGATCAGGCTTGTCTCCAGCTCGGAGATCTGTCAGCTTCTGCCTTTCAAGGGCTGGGATTAGTTCCACACCCAGCTGGAATTGGTTTTTGGTCTGATTTTACTTGAACTGCTATGCTGTCTAAGAGCACAGAGAACACTGATTGTCACTGACAGTAGTAAAAGTTTGAATTCAGTGGCAGTGCTTGGCTAGCAAATATAAGACCCTAGACTCAATCATTAGCAATCCTCACCCCCTCCAAAAAAAGATTTGGGACCATAACTCCTTTTTTAATGATTTATTTATTTCTATTTGATGTGCATTGGTGTTTTGCCTGCATGTATGCCTATGTGAGGGTGTCAGATCCCCTGGAGCTGGAGTTACAGACGGCGGTGAAACTGCCATGCAGTGGCTAGGAATTGAACCAGGATCCTCTGGAAGAGCAGCCAATGCTCTTAATCACTGGGCCATCTCTCCAGCCCCAGAATGATGAAGTCTATCCAATATAATAATTCAAAGTTTGGCAACTATCAGCGAATTGGCAGATGTGTACACTCAAACCTGCACGCATACATTTTCCAGATTGGCAGAAACTTATTGCCACAATGCTGGCCAATCTCTCAGAGGTAGCTAGACAAACACAAACGCTCTTTGGATGCCAAGAGAGCCGATGAACAACAGACCTGCCAAACTCTTCGAGAAAGGCCGATTAGCCAGGAGGGGCATGCTGCCTGCTTTTGCAAAGCCAGTGATCCCATCAACAGCAAGCGGTGCTGCATAGATGAAACAAAAATAAGGCGACAGTGAGCCAGTGTGCTTCTGCACCGTTCTTTCTTTGTCTAGCATGGGTATGATTCCAGGCCTGTGTCCCATGTGCTTGCTTAGTTGTATTACATGTCACCAAAGCGAAAAAAGAAAATAGAATCGGGATTGGAAGGGTTGAGAGAATCCTGAGTGTGTGTTTTAATGATAGATTTGAGGAGTCTGATGACAGAAATTGTTACATCTGGTCTTTGAGTCTGTGGCTCTTTCTTTCATTATGAAATAATTGGGTAAGGATTGTTTACCAAAATCCCAAAGTAGCGTATGTTAAAGAATATTTTCTTTAAGTTCTCATAAGAGCTCTTGTCCAAAGGACCTTTTTTTTTCTTTCTTTATTGTTGCACACTGTGCTACACCCTGTAGATCTAAATAAGCTTTTGTTTCAGGGCTATGCACAATTTTAGGTTTCTGTGGAAATATGGCATTGGATTTTTTTTTTGTCAGAAATTTACTTGCATTCTGAAATTTGTTATCAGATTACCTGATCAAATCACCCTTTATTTCACATCACTTCTTTCTTCAAATTTAGCCACCTAAACCGCCCTTGGTGGTACAAGCCCAGTACTTGGGATTGAAGCCGTAGAATAGCAAGTGTAAATCTACTATGGGCAAATAGCAAGTTTCAGGCCTGCCTAGGCTACACGGGGAGACTGTTCCAAAGACAACCAACAACGAAAACAAATAAAAAATAGATTTAGCCAAGTACATTTGGGTATCAAGACCTTAACATTATTCGCTATCCCCTGGAATGATGTAGATGTATCTCTTGGAGGAGTGTATCAGGTCAAAGAATTAAAGATCCGTTGTTTTATTAAAGGAAAAGGAAAAGGAAGAGGAAAAGGAAGAGGAAAAGGACCCCCTATCGTTGACACCTGTTCATTGCCGTTGATTTAAGTTGTTTTATAAATTCACGCCAGTAGGTGTCAGTGTTGAGTGAAGGCTAAAATCCTTTTCCTAAGTGGAACGTTTGAGTTTAAAGAAAAAAAATCGTAAAATATTGCGGTCGGGACGTAGTATATGTAAGAATTTTAAAAAGGCAAGATTTTTAAAACAATGTAAAGACAACGTTCAAAAGAGACGGGGTCTCGCTATGTTGCCCAGGCTGGAGTGCAGTGGCTATTCACAGGCGCGATCCCACTACTGATCAGCACGGGAGTTTTGACCTGCTCCGTTTCCGACCTGGGCCGGTTCACCCCTCCTTAGGCAACCTGGTGGTCCCCCGCTCCCGGGAGGTCACCATATTGATGCCGAACTTAGTGCGGACACCCGATCGGCATAGCGCACTACAGCCCAGAACTCCTGGACTCAAGCGATCCTCCTGTCTCAGCCTCCCGAGTAGCTGGGACTACAGGCGTGCGCCACCGCGCCCGGCGGTCGGGAACGCGGCCGGGGAGATACTAGAGCTTCGGGCTGGCGTGACGTCAGCGACTGTGCCCGCCCAGTCCGTCGGCTTTGGGACTGTCACTCAAAGACACCCCGCCCCACCGGAACAACGTTGTCGCGCTGCGCACGCGCCACGCCTCAGCGTTGTATTCTGGGTAGAGTGTGGCTCCAGAAAACTTGAAGAGCGCATGCGCGCGCGCGCTCGCTCCTTTCTCCTCGTTGGCCGTCCGCAGGCAAGATGGGTCACCAGCAGCTCTACTGGAGTCACCCGCGGAAGTTCGGCCAGGGTTCTCGCTCTTGGTGAGAGGCGGTTGGTGGGGATCGTGGTGAGCGGAAAGGGCCGCTCTCGGTGGCGGGGCTGGGATTTCAAGGCGCCCGCGGGCGGCGCGCAGGCCCGGCGATCGGAGCCTCCCTCGCCGCCGCCGCCGCCGCCGCCGCCGCCGCCGCCATTACGGGCTTGTGCTGGGTCGGGCGGGCCCCGGTACGGGTGGTGGTCTTCGGTGAGGATTTGTGTGTCCTCTGTGGCCCGCTATGAATGCCATCTCTTCCTTTCTTCCCCATCCAGCCGCGTCTGCTCTAACCGCCACGGTCTGATCCGGAAATACGGCCTGAACATGTGCCGTCAGTGTTTCCGCCAGTACGCGAAGGACATAGGCTTCATTAAGGTACGCGCCGGTGCCACGCCATCGTCCGGGATGCGGGCGGGAGCTTCAGACCGAGACCCACACACACAGCTGAGGGTTTGAGCGGTCAGAGCTCTAGAAAGGGTGACCCCCTTTATATGCCTGGCCACGGTTAGGTGTCAGGTTGAGCAACGTGTTTTAACTTGGTAGGCGATACTACAGTTTCTACGTAGTAACTCAATATTTTCAGACCGACTACGTGTCTTTCGTTTCTGGCCCGGAATGTTTGATTATAGACTGGGAAGAGCCTTAGATTTCGGGCCCGGGGGATTTGTTTAGCCAAGGTTTTGTCTTTTATCGGTTCTAAGGTCGTGATCAAGTTAATGCTACACGAAACTTGGTTGATTTCCCAAAAAGCCACTTTGGTTTTTTTTTTTTTTTTGGTCAAAAGACAAATCTGTTTGCTTTTTGGTATAAAATCACCAGCTTTTTGTTTAGTTGGACCAGTTTGGTTTTTCAGGTCAGAGTTTTTCTGTAGTCCTGGAACTCATGACCTCTGTAGACCACGCTGGTAATTGAACCTCTGCTGGGATTAAAGGCGTGAGCCACCACGCCCGGATTCGGGACCAGTTTTAAAAAGGCTTGTGTTTAATGGCCTGTGTCGTTTTATGTGAGGTCTCCGGTGCAGCAGGGACGGTTGTTTTAAGCTCAGGATTCTAATATTGACCAAATAATTACTGTAAGCCTAGTGATATATCGTAGAGATTTGAATGACTGAGAGTATCATAATTAGAGAATTATGATATGAATTAGAGATTATGGTTGCTGACTCCCTTCAAGCTGGGCCTAGTTTCTTGAGGCTAAGATGAATTGTAGTAACTGGCTGTTCAGTTCTCCAGAACACTTGGTTACAGTCGTTTTGTGTAGTATTATATTGGGAACTAATTCTTAGAGGGGACCAGTGAAAATGCCAGAATCACATTCTAAAGTAATAAGTTCTCTTATGTGCTTTTTCTTTGCAGTTGGACTAATCGACCTTGAATGGATTATTCAAGACTTGTCTCCACAATGAAACAGATCATGCTAGTCTTTGTACATAAAGAATAAAATGAAGACCTTCAGTTTGTGTGTTTTTCTGTTTTTGACACAGTTGGCCTCAAACTCAGATCCATCCATCCATCTGCTCTGCCTCCTAGTGCTGGGATCCACAATTTTTGAATTTCTGTTGACAGGGAGGAACAGGCATGCTCCATTGAGGTGTTGGGGGTCTAACCCAACGCTTCTGCATGTTAGGCAAGCACTTTACCAATTGATCTAAATCCCCAGGCCTGATAGGTGGTGTCTTAATGTGGCTAAAAAAATTTGTTATAGAGATAATCTCAAAATTTTAGAAATACCTTAGGGATGGAGAGAGGGCTCTTAAGTGGACCTGGGTTTGATTCCCAGCACCCATAGCTCAACAGCCATCTAACTGAGTTCCAGGGAATCCCTTGTGGGCAGTGGGCACACATGAGTTTACAGACAAATGTTTGCTGATAACTTGCTAATCTAGAAAGCTGATAAATGAGGACTTGCTCAGTAAAAGACATAGTATGGCTTTTAACTTGACCAGGTAAGTAAGAGACCAGAAGAAAGTTGATCTTATTAAAGCTTATTAAAGTCCAAAGACTTGCCATGTGTCTGGGAATCTATGAGATGATGTGTACCTTTTGATCTCAACACTTGGGAGGCAGAGGCTAGGCCTATCTCTAGGCCAGCAAGGGCTCCAGGGAGAAACCCTGTCTTTGGAAAAGCAAGATAGTGTTTTTTACTTTTTTTTTGGTTGGTAGGGTTCCACTGTGTAGTTGAGATATGAATTGAACTTTGGCTGTTGGTGGCTTCAACCTCTGGTACTTGAATTAAAAGTGTATACAGCTACATACAGTTAGTTTGCAGTGGCCTTAAATTATACCCCTGGAGGTAGAGTTTGGGGCCAGCCTGGTTCACATACATAGCAGTTCCAGGTCTATATAGTGAGACTGTCTCAAAAGTTTAAAGTAAAGGGCAGAGGGATGGCTGAGTGGATTAAGGTGTTTGCCACCAAGCCTGAAATCTGTGGAACCCACATGACAGGAGAGGCTTGCAAATTGTACCATGGCATACATGTGTTCTCCCTCGTGTATAAATAACAAAAGTAAATTAAAAGATGGATCCTGGAGGTGACTCCAGGTTTGAGAACCTGTTGGGTTTTGGGGATACTGTGCCAAATTCAAATGCTGTGTGGAATTGATAACTGGTGGATCCACAGTGCTTGATGGTGTTTGAAGAAAAAGGAAGCAAAGTGGTAGTGGTTGGCAGTCAGAAGGAGGCCTTACTCTACACCTGTGTTAAGATCATAGCGGGAGCTGGGTTTATTGCACTCTAATCCATCACTCAAGAAGCGGAGGCAAAAGTGAGTTTGAGGCAAGAGGAAATGGAAGCCAGGCAAGCACAATCTAGGCAATTACCTTGGGCTGGCACAGGTTGGAGTGGTTTAGGTAGTCACTGACTTATGAAGATGACAAGGTTCCATGGGAGGTAGGAGTGAAGGATTCCAAGGGCTTTGACCAGAGCAAGTGGAAGAATTGCTGTTGGCAGGACTGAGGACAGGTTTGGAGAAAAAGTATTGGCATACTGTTTTCAATGCCTATTAGACTTCCAGTGCGGCTTCCTAGGAAAGGCTTGTTTAGCTTGTGGAGTACACAGTAAAGAGAACTGGAAATAGAATTTTCACTGTTCTTTAGAGTATGAAGTATTTTCAGGTCTCGTCTGAGTGAATATGCATGAAAGGATTCTTGGGTTCTTTGGAGTTTAGGGTTTAGCAAAGCAGGCTAAAAGTGGAGATCTAAGCAGGGTGTGGTGTGTACCAGTAATCCTAGCATTCAGGGTGGAGGCAGGAGGATCAAGAATTAAAGATTTTGCCTTCAGAAGTTCAGGCCTGCCTGGGCCACATGGGCCAAGTGTGGGGAGTGATCTATAATGAGTGCATCTGACAAAAAGCAGAATTGATGTGACAGGAAAAGTGACCAAAGGGAAGTTGCTGTGCAAAAAGCTGATTGGATTTTAACTGCAGTTCATCTATTTTTTTTTTTTTTTTTTTTTTGGTTTTTCGAGACAGGGTTTCTCTGTAGTTTTGCGCCTTTCCTGGAACTCACTTTGTAGACCAGGCTGGCCTCGAACTCATCTATTATTTTTAATGAACAGGTGAAGGTTGCTAGTGAGCCTCCCTAAGCACTTAGGAGCTCACAGGATCAAGGATCCTGAAGTCCAAAGTTTACAAGCTTCATGGTAATCCATCTTGGCTTTTAGAGATAGACGTTGCAATTGTGATCTGAGTGGTGGTGCATGCCTATAAACTAATTATTTGGTAGATGGAGGCAGGAGGATCAAGAGTTTAAGGACAGCCTAGGCTAAGTAGTGAGTTGGAGGCCAGTCTCATCTGTACGAAATCAAAGCCATGCCTCAGTTGCTGTCAGGAAGTGTCTAGGAAAGCTATATTTCAGTCAGGGTGTAGGGTGTTTTTTGGCAATGGGGTAAGCTTCTTGTTGCAGACTGAAGATGGAGGAGAGTTGTCAGTTGAGCAAGTACACAGAAAATCTGGAAGCTGAAGATGAGAGAAGCTGAACGTGTATTTCATGTTTTAGTGTAAGAAGAATCTGACTTGATCATGAGTCTCTTGGATGAGCTGAGGTCTGTTCTAGCCTGATGGCCCTGTGTAAATTCTGTAATACATTTGCAGTGCCTTAGGGAACACAGGAGGGAAACACTAGCCAGTCACAACCCTTGTGTGTGGTACTGGAGGGGAGCCTATGGAAAGGTGGACTGGCTACCAGGGTTGAATAAGACTCAATAGAGATTGTTTAAAATTTGTTATGTGTTAGACCATATGTGAAGGGCTTTACAGACGTTTCCTTTTCAGGGTTTAGAGTTCCTTTCAGAAGACACGATCCTCATTACGTAGCTGAGGAGACTAATTTAGACATAGGGTCATTTCCCCAAGGTAATCTTCCCCAAAGAGACACAACTGACCTAGAACTTGGGTCAACTGTCATTTGTTACATGTCCTTGTATATTTACAGCAGCACAAGCAAGATGCCTTGCATATGAAGAGAGGGGCCCCCAAATAAACTTTGGTGGCAAAATAACCTAGCTAGATGGCCACTGGAGCACATAGGATATGCTTTTAGGTTAGGGTCCTGCTTTAGTGTGTTTTGGCTTTTGAAACAGAATGCTGAATGGCTTAAACTACTTATTTCTCAACATCCTAGAGGCTGAGAAGTTAAGATCAAGGCACTAACTAGTGAAGGCTATGTTCTGAGCCACAGATAGAGCCTTCTTAATGTCCTCGCCTGTGGGTGGGGCAAGTGAGTGTCCTTGGATCGATTTTTTTTTTTTTTTGGTTTTTTTTTTTTTTTTTTTTTTTTTTTTGGTTTTTTCGAGACAGGGTTTCTCTGTGTAGCTTTGCACCTTTCCTGGGACTCACTTGGTAGCCCAGGCTGGCCTCGAACTCACAGAGATCCGCCTGGCTCTGCCTCCCGAGTGCTGGGATTAAAGGCGTGCGTCACCACCGCCCGGCCCCTTGGATCATTTTTAATAGATACTGAGGGTGGAACCTTCATGATTTATTCATCTCCCAAAGGCCTTACCTAGAGTTTACCTTGGGGACTAGGGTTTCAACACGAGTTATGGGGTGACTTTTCTACAGCTGTGAGGACTGATCCCCATTTTACAAATGTGTTGGCAGGCACAAGAGATTGTATAGCCAGTAAGGTTCAAACCAGGCAGTAGTTTGAAAAGCCCTCTTGCCACTGAACTCTGAATGCCTGTCAGCGAGAGAGAGCTTTAGTAAATATTTGTAGTCTAACAGACAGAAATAATTTTCAGTAAAAAGGAAATCGTGTATGTGGTATGATTTCATTGTCACAGAAAAGCACAGGAAAACAAACAACCCAGTAGGTTAGCAGTGCTTGTCTTGGTGTGACAAATGTAGGTGCAGCGTCAGAATCAGACACCAGTAGGTCTGGGGGATCCAGTGACCGCTCTGTATAATATCCCTGATCGCAGTATTGTTAGGCATTTTCTCCTTAAGCCAGCTCATTCTATTATTATGATTATGATTGAAAATAGATTCTTTTTTCATATAATATATCCTGATTATGCTTTACCCTCCCTCCACTCCGACGAGTTCCTCCCTACCTCCCCTCCTCTCCAGATCCACTCCCTTTCGGTCCCTTATTACAAAAGAACAGGCTTCTAAGAGATGACAACTAAATGTGACATAATATAATAGATGAAGCAAAAACTTATATCAAAGTCGGACAATGCAGCCCCGCAGGGGAAGAGTCCCAGAACAGGCACAAGAGTCAGAGACCCACTCGCTCTCACAATCAGGCGTCCCACAGAAATACTAAGCTAACAGCTATAATATAAATATAAATATAAATATAAATATAAATATAAATATAAATATAAATATAAATATAAATATAAATATAAATATATATATATACAGAGGACCTGGTGTTGGCCCATGTAGGACCTGTGCTCACTGTTCCAGTCTGCATTTTCTTTGCTAATTTCATTTGCCATCCAAATTCCATGTGATCCTGTACAAAACAATCTGACCTCTGCGAGACAAATCGTCAAAAGGTCACATACTGAAGCTCAAGGGCTCTAGAATTTTCTCACCAGAATAACTATGACTGGTGTTTATTTTGAAAAATTACTTAATTTAAAAAATTATTTTACATTATTTGTGTGTGTGTGTGTGTGTGTGTGTGTGTGTGTGTGTGTTTGTGTGAGGTTATTGTGCATGTGCAGGTGCCCATGGAGGCCAGAGGTGACAGACCTTGCTACAACTGGAGTTAGAGGCAGCTGTTTGTCAGCTGCCCAATGTGGGTGTAGGGAACTGAACTCAGGTCTTTTGCAAGAAGGATAAGAGCTCTTAACCACTGAGCCATCTCTCCAGCAACACACACACACACACACACACACACACACACACACACACACACACACACACACACACTAAATTTTTATTTATAAATATGTGTATGTGTGTGTGTGTTGGGGGTGGGTGGGTTATGAGCTTATGAGTTCAGGT